TATAACTCATTCCTTTATGGAATCGAAGTTTATAACACTTTCCTCTGCCGGAGAAGAAGCTGAATGGTTGAAAAGCATATTGGAAGATATCCCGATATGGAACAAGCCAATACCACCCTTGACAATATATTGTGACAATATGGCTGCAATGTTTCGAGCTAACAGCGAGTGTTACAATGGAAAATCTAGACAAGTGCGATTGAAGCACAATCATGTGAGAAAAATCCTAGCTGATGGAATTATTTCTATTCAATATGTGAAGTCCAATTAAAATTTGGCAGATCCATTATCAAAGGGCTTGGGTAAGGACCAAGTGTTCGAGACATCGAAAGGGATGGGATTAAAGCCTGTAATTGAATAAGTTATACTGTTATGGGAACCCAACCCAGTGATATTTCTCATGAGTTCAATGGGAAAAACAAGTAACATAACAACTTGTGTGAGCACATCAATGTTCATTTCCCTATGATATCATGTGGTGCTCAATCATGTAACCGAGGAGGTTAAGATTTAGATCTCTTAATGAATCTATAGATCGATTTTTGATTGGAGTGTACAGGATCACTCTTGATAGGTTCACCGTATAATCAATGAGGAGGCTGAGACATGAGTCTCTTAATGAATTCTATAGATCGGATTTCCGATTGGGGTGTATACAATCACTCTTAATAGATTCACCGATTTATCTTGCAATGAAGAGGGTGAGATTAAATTCTCTTAATGAGTCGATAACCGGTATTCGGTTGGAGTGTGCAAGGTCACTTTTGATGGACACACCGATCTGAGTGTGGAAGTAGGGCCACTTCTATAGGATCTAGATAGGCTTGATCCTTAACAACACTCAGAAGTATGGATTCCGGACACATGGCCGAAACGTGTCAAGCTTTAGTACTTTATCTCCGAACAGTTGATGGTTCAAGACATCATTCACCAAGTTCCTAGATGAAATCAAGGGTACTTACACTAGGTAATGGTTCAAGTCCAAAAGACACCATTATTGATGCACATGACTGTACCGATCAACAAAATGAATTTTAAAACAAGTGGGGGATTGTTAGAGTTATGTTTCAAATTAATTTTTAGTAACTCTATATTTATGAAGGCTTTAAGTTTTGACTTTACTATTTACTTACGAAGACATAAAGTATTTTTACAAACTCTAACTCAAAGGATCTTCACCTGATGCAATTAAATCAACTATATTAATATGTTATTTATGAGTTAAGTTTAAAGTTATATTAAATACTTTATTTAATTATGTCTTTTATATTTTACTATAAATAGTATGGCATATGAAGCCTACAAATCACACACTCTCAATACAAGTAAGAGAGAAAAAGAGATTTGAAAAAAAAAATGTTTTCAAACTATTGAGTTTGAGTGTGTGAGTTTCATATTTTCTGTTGATCGGACGGAGATAAATACACAGGTTCATGAAAAAGAACTGCAACCTTCATGAACATACAGTTTTGATATCTGGGCTTAGTTGAATCCCAGAGATAGTGCTGCCATTTGTTTTCCGTTGCACGTGGGAGAGGCTTCAACTATCTTCAAAAAGCGATTACGCGCCTTTAAGCCTCGATATTCGCCGTTTTAATATATTGGTTCCAACACTATATATGTGTATGTATATATGTATCCATATGTGTGTGTGTGTGTATATATATTGTTATCAAAAGATGACAAAATAATTTACCTGTGCTATTTAAGTGCTAGTATTTGTGCCTCGTGTACTGACTCAGTGTAAGAGAAGAATGTCACTCTCTATCTTGGAATCTCAAATTCTCTAATTTTTACGTATCAAAGTTGTGGAAAAGAGGGCAATTTAAAGATGTCAAGAAGCAGTCCTACTTAAACTTGAATTGACAATCTAAGTCCCAAACAAGAAGCTTGATATATCCATCTAAGTTAATTCCTATCCGATGGTGACGTGAATCAAGCTTTTTTTTCATAGCAGGTAAAAAATAAACAAGAGTCCCGTAGTTATCATTGCATCACTCTGTCTCCCCTTTGCATATGGGGTTCCTCTTTTCTTAAGAGGTTTTCTATTTGTTGGAGTGTTTTCTTTGGATTTCCTTTTGGTCCGTTTTTTTTTTCCTCCTTTCCTTGTCTCTGGTACGCTTGTAGATCATTTCCTTTGGTGTGCTTCTATCATAGTTCTTTTGCTTTTGATGGTTTCTTCTCTGGTGATCTTGGGTATTCCTTTCTCTCCTTGCCGGAACGGCAAAAGTGTGCAGCGAGATGTCAATCCGGGGGTTCTACATTTTGAAAGAATTGATGACCAATCAGTGCAAAATTTTCCTTTCGATCCGGGTATCGCTATAAGTTCTTGTGTTTTTATGTTAGTGTTAATTTTATCTTGGTGTGTTTTGCCTTTCAGATTTCTTGGTTTGCTTCACTTCTCTTTCTAGGTGAAAGCTTCACCGTTTCGGACTTGGTCGGCAAAATCAATTTCTCCTACTTCTCGGTTGCCGGCGAATCTGGGTTATCCTCGTGGGATGATCAGCTCTTTGATTTGTTGGGCCGTGGTGAAGAAATTTAGGGTATACCGTTTCTGTTGGGTTTTCAAAATTGGATGTTGCTATTAGTGTTTTCTAGTCATGGGGTTAAATTTAAGCAGTCCGTAACATGGTCGGTGGTTCGGCTCCATTTGCAAGCGGCGTGCCCATGGTGTTTGCCAGTTTGTGATTGTTGGTGGCTCGACGACGGGGCCAGCTTTTGTTTCTTCGGCTGGGGAAGCCATGACGTCATGGCTGATGTTATGGAAGTTTACTTTGGAAGTTTTCTTCTGCCTTTCAGTCATGGCTGATGTCATGGAAGTTTACTTTGGAAGTTTTCTTCTACCTTTCAGTGGGCCATGGCCATGAGTGTTTTGGAATTTGTGTGAGGCGGTGTCATTTGATAAGAGATCTTTAGGTGTAGGTACAAATTTTGACTATTTTGGAAAATCTAGTGCTCTGCTTGTGGGGTACTAACACTCCCAATATCAGTTATTGTCAAGGATGATATTTTGACATTTGGGGGTGTTAGTTTTGGATAGTTTTGTGTTTTTTTTTTGGCATTGAATGTGTTTCTGTGTTTTGATATGGTAACATGTTCTTGCCCTGTAAATGACTGTTTTCTTGCCAGGTTAAAAACAAAAAAAAAAAAAAAAAGAAGTCCTGTAAGAGGCAACAGTTGAAAACTTCCAGACTTGCTGAGTGTTATGCTTCCATTAGGATTTCAAAAAAAATAAAAATAAATAAAATCTTCAGCATGATGGGCAAAGCTTCTAGTCAAGGCATGCTAAGTAGACTTAAAACTGGATGTGTCTTCCAAGTTAGTCATGTGGTCAAAGTTCACTGCCAAAAAAAAAAAAAAAAAAAAAAAAAAAAAAAAAAAAAAAAAAAAAAAACTTCCCAACACCTAACAAACATAGAGCTTGCAAGACTTGAAGTGGGGGCAATTTGTAACCATTAAAAAAATAATTAAAAAAATAAATAAATAAATATAGTGGATATAATTTGGTCTTGCTATAAAGCCCATTTCAAAATATATAAGTGGAGCAAGATAAGTCCATTGCAAAATACAAAATTATGGATTAGCGCAGAATCACCTATGATCCAAGCCCATCCTCATGAATCGATCAAAGCCATTTATCTAGCCCAAGCCCATCCTCATGGGTTAGCCAAATAATAGAATAATTATTCTTAATATATATATATAATTATTAATTTGATAATTATCAAGACAAGCACAATTTACTGTTTCACTCCTCAGTTAGGTCTATAAATAGAGGAAGAGAGGTGGAAAGTGAGGGGGGAGAAGACTCGAACAGACCATTAAAGCTCTACCGAATTCTTCATTCAACACTTAAAGCATCCAACATTCAAAACTCCAAGAAGAAGAACAAGCAGCATGGTGTGCCTAGGGATGGCAATGGGGCGGGGTGGGGCGGGGATCTCATTCCCCATCCCCGGTCAATTTTTTACCCCCATCCCCGCCCCATACCTGTTTAAATTTTAACCCCCTCCCCCGTCCCCGCCCCGCCCCGCTACATTAGCCCCCGTCCCCCCCCCCCCCCCCCCCGCATAACTTTTTTAAAATTCCAATTCACCTTCAACAAAATCAATACAACTATAATATTTTTCAACCTAATAATTTAATAAAGCTTCAGCACAATTATAACAATTTAAAACATATCATTTCAACCTGTAGCAAAACCACATATAACATTTTTCGGAATAGTCTTGAAATTTTCAACACGATCAATCAAAACAAATAACATTTTTCCAACAACGACTATGCTGCGAGGGAATAGATCTAAGATTTCAGAAGTTAATATATTATATATATTTAATTATATAATTTAGTAATATTTTATAACATGTAAGGACAGTTTTGTAAAAATGCATTATAAACGGGGCGGGGTTACCCTCCCCCAGTCCCGCCCCGTCCCCCGCCGGGGTTTCAAATACAATTTCCATCCCCTCCCCATTTACATAAATGGGTCCCCAAACCCGCCATAACAGGGCGGAGTGGGGCGTGGACCTGCTGGGTATAGGAATTTTGCCATTCTTAATTGAAGTTTCAACCTGATTTAAGATCAAGGTCAAGCAACACTTGGATTCAGACCTCAAAGGAGATCGAATCAAAGGATACACTCTTTTTATTGTAAAGATATTTACAGAGGATCGTACCCGAATTTTACAAAATTAATAAAACTGATATTTGCTCCATATTTTGTTCTTTAGTCTACAGATACAAAATTTGTGTGCACAGAGGCCACTCTTTACCCATGTTTGATATGCTTTATGCATTAAAAGAAGATTTTATGAAGGGGAATATGCAATATATTGAGAGAACTTTCACCAAGTAGGACTACAAGCCGAGCAACCATTTAATGGGTGCAACCAAAGACCACCTAGCCTACCTCATGAAATATTATGCTTTTACCATGTGTGTGTGTGTCAGTGTGTGTGTTGTGTGTGTGTGTGTGAGAGAGAGAGGGAGCACATGCATCCTACATAAGTGATTGTACCCTCTTTTATTAGCTGATGTATTGTGGTGAAACTGTACCAGTTTGTTAGTCATCACCCAAGCTAGCTAGCTAAGAGTCCATATACATGGTCCCAAAAGAAGGGCCAATGAAGTAAAGGAGAATCAAAAAGGGTACCCACTGCCTCTTCACAAGGCACTCACCTAGTGATTTCAAATAACTGATACATATATCATAATTTCTACTAAGATTAGTGGAATAAGTATCTCTCTCTTTTCAGTACCCACTGCCTCTTCACAAGGCACTCACCTAGGGAAAAGCTGCAACTTCTTCATTTAAGTGAGTGAGCAGATCGTTGATGCTCTTAACTGAATGCTCCGCCTTGTCTCTCACCTGCACGCTCACCTGTAAAGAGTCGAGGCATTATGAATGAAGTATGAACCAAATTGCAATATAATTTAATATTTTCAAACCAAACTTCGCTGCTTTTTTTTTTTTTTTTTTTTTTCATTTCATCGGTATTATTCATCTAAAATAAATATTCATAACCGATACTGAGGAAATGTAAAAAAGAGGTTTTACATCTATCCAGTCAACTTTCTGCATATTAATGTCGTAGAGCACCTATCAGAAATTTAACATAAAGCCACTAGGGTTACCAAGAGACTCATTTCCTGCTAGTGTACTCACACAGATGAAATACGCATAGATGGACCAAGAACATAATAAACCACACTTATTGGGTCTAATAAAATACACGTTTTGACCACGAAAATAATAAACCACACTAATTTGTATGTTCAGCTTATTGAAGAAGAGAGGTAGAACCTGTCCAGTGTTGGCTTCATCTTCACCAACAACCAATATATAGTTGTACCTCGCCAACTGAGCCTCCCATATCTGCAGAAAACAAAAAGATCAGTCACAGAAAGCAGCACTCAATCAAAGTAAAAGCAAAAAGAAAAACAGAAAAAGCAGCAAAAGGAATGATGGTATATTCAGATTCTATAAATGCAATGAAAGAAAAATACAATTACAATTAAAAGGAACGCAAACAAACAAAACATATAAAGCCAATGAAACACACCAGCGTCAAAGCTACTTTTATCTTAGAATTCAAATATCACAATGTACATGAATTAGAAAGACCATGATAGGACATTGTGTGATGTACTAGTGCAAACACCCTTTTATGGGGGTTTGGGGAATGAGTTCAAATATCATCTACTAATTGGAGTTCTGCTTGCAAATAGAAGCCCAGGGGTATTGGGATAAATCACACACAATTATGATCAACTGGGTTGAATGGGAAATGACCATGGAATTTGCTTCAGAAGAAGATAGTTACAACATTGCAAAAAGGGAGATCGATGAGCCGACAAGGGGTGGAGTAATTATGGTTTAGGACTTGGCCAAAAAGAAAAGAAAAAGAAAATGTTGTTGGGCTTTGACATTCATTAGAGGAAGGCTTGGGCTTCGATGTGGGTTACGTTGTGCATTTAATATTCAAAATATCCGAGTAATTTGATAAAATCAATTATTTGCACCCTTGGCATTGTAACATCTCAAATATACATTTATATATACATAATTCAATAGTGAGGAAATAAAGAATAAGATCTTTACCAACGGGCCAGTTTTCTAGCGATACCAAGCCCGTACTTCTCAAAGAGAGGTCAGGGGTTCAAGCCTCCATGGAGACATAGGTGTGTGAGTACCAACTAAGAAAATAAATAAATAAATAAATTAATAATAATAATAAGATCTTTTATGTCTGCTGTCAGTGGCACTAAATGAAATGCCCTAAGTATACACCAAGAGAAACTGTTGAAGCCACAAGACTCAAGGGCACGTGATTACACCACACGCACTCCATTTAATATTATAAGAATGAAACTTCTTTTACAATGAGATCACCAAAGCATTAAAACAGTTTGCAGAACGGAAATTTGAGTTCCAGAAAGGCAAAAAATATATACCTTTTCCGGGATTGTTCTATCACTTGAATCGACATCAACATAATAACCAGCTTGATGAATCTTATCCCGCACCTACCAGAATTTAGCAATAGAAAATATCGTTATCCCTCATCTTCTGGGTTAGGCAGATATGAAGGAGTAAAGAACAGATATTGATAAATTCTTCAGATCATTGTGCAATTTATACATTAATTTCCCCCTTTTACCTTCACAGGAAATAAAACAACTCAGGAAAACAATCCAGTTTCAACTTCCAAAACCAAAATTCCGTTTCAAAATATCTGAGTAATTAGAGAGCAATTGTCACATTACCGCACAATCAGGTTTCAACTTCCAAAACCAAAATCCTAAAACTGCTTTTTATGAATATCAAATTCACAAGTGTTTGTTTTACAGAGAACCAATGCACAAGTGCCCTCAGTATGGTAATGCATTAAAGTGTGTCAATTGCCTATATGAAAAAATTAATAAATTAAAGGTTATTTGTTATTGTTTAGAAATCAGCATTTTTGACAAACTCAATTATTTGCAATGATTCCAGGTTAACCAAAAAGGGCAAGCAGCAGTTCACAATTATTAGAACGAGATAACACTCCCAACAGATGGAAGCATAAGAATTAGTTGATTGTAGTCCACAATGACACAAATCAGTGAACAATACCATCCATATGCATCAGATTGTCGATACCAAATAGTAAAACGTGTTAAATTAAATCAGACCATGATAGAGACAAGTGAATAAATCAAGTACATAGAGCTAAAAACCTGAAGTGCATATGGCTGGGATTTCTCTGACACGGAGCAAACAATTGCTTGACGTGGACTGAGCCAGAAGGGCCATTTCCCTTTATAGTGCTCCAAAAGTATAGCAAACATACGCTCAACAGACCCTAGGATGGCACGGTGTATCATAACGGGCCTCTCCATCTTCTTTTCATCCTCTGCCGAGTAAGACAAGTTGAAACGGGAAGGAAGTTGGAAATCCAGCTGTGATAACAGGTATCCATTCGTTAATCGACGATTCTATAACCCTACAAGGAAATATAAATGAAAGGTAATAACTGAAAGACAGCATGTACACATCTTAAACCTGTATCGTTGCACACTGGAATTTTTTATTCAACGCATCAGAGACACTGATATCAATCTTGGGACCATAAAATGCTCCATCCCCTTCATTTATCTGTACGGAATAATTTCAAAAGTAAGTTCACAAGACATGAAGCCGACAAATACTGCTCAAAACTGGAAGTCCACAGAGAACCAATTATGTAACCAAAATATATATATATATAGAAAAATTATGAATTTTTCCACCCTATCCTGACATATTCTTTTAATTTCTAAAACTTATTAAAAAACTTTGAATTTTTCCTCCCATCCTAGCATATTATTTTATTTCTAAAACTTATAAAGGTTAATTACCAATGAACATCTGATTATGAAACCTGAGCACAACTCCATGCGTGAAACTAGTAACAGATCCAACCAGCTAAAATCCACTAGAATTCTCATGATCTATGATATTGTATTTATTGCTTAAATTAAGGTCAATAGGCATTATTTAAGCATTTAGAAACAAAACTTGCCAGTAAGAAAGTATCATCCGGTTGATTGTTCCACTCAATACGAGTGCATGTGTGCCTGCATTTTGTGTGGGCATCTATTTAGTCCCTGATTTTCTTTTCTACTCGATCAATAAGCCGCACCATCTAATTTACCTGATCCACCGCTGCCCTCAATATGAACAAAATAGTGTAAATACTTTTGACCCACCTTCTTGTTTGATATCTTTCACATTTCAATTAAAATAAAAAAATTTAAAATTAATAATAAGATGAATCACTCAACTTTTTATCTTTTTCATTTTTGGGGTATTATTTACAAAAAGTCTGAGTATTTCAGTGGAAATCTAGAAATTTCACTTTAAATTTTAACAACGAAGAAAATGGAATGAAGGTAACTTAGAAATTCTCTACAAAGCAGAAACTGAACTAGGAAGCATACCAGAAGAAGATGTGAAATAAATAATATAGGTAACAATGGTTAATAATGCCATAAGGGCAGTGAGGTTGTGTCCAGTTGCACTATCATCCACAAGCATCATTGGGTTAAGTATAGTAGTCGTGTGCATTGCAATAAAAAATATGTATAAGAGGACAAAAGGGAATAGGTTGGATATCAAAGGAGAAAAATTAACGTGCCAAAATTTTACAACTCAAATTTAGGAGGGAAAAAAAAAAAAAAAAAAAAAAAACACTGAGCAATTACCTGCCACTGCTTCCCAAACTCATTCAATGCTTCTGTAAGAGCAGCTTCAGCCTTTTCCCATGTTGCCAAGTCTCCGAGATATTTTTCTGGCCTCTACAGCACCAAATACGTGTTGCACAAAATACAATATATTCTTCACTTCTCCATACCAGATATAATGCAAACATAACCGAATAAAACAGGATCAAAAGAGTATGACTGAAACAAAGAGATGCTGCTATCTCTTGCACAACAAACTGAACATATCCCAAGGTAGAGATTCTATAATTTTCAGTGACTTGGTACTTATAAGTTTAAAAAGCAACTGTTTAAACCTTTTTTCTAAGTTACATGAACCAAAAAGAAGGGCATTCAAAACAGTACAAAGTACCAAGCAGAGGGATTACAAAGAATCTTCGTGTAAGTTTAGAACACTTATGAACCTGCCAATCAGATGGATTCATTATTACTGTAAATAGGAAAACCCCATTAGACCATCGAACACTTGCCAATTGCAATATAACTATCAGTTTTTGAAGAAACCAAGCAGTAAGCAAAAATAATTTTGCTCAGCTTCCATAAAATTCGAGTGCTTATAATATCATAATGTTGATGATATTGAAAAGTCAGTATTCTGAGTTCACCATGAAAATCGCACAAGCATATCACTGCAGAGAAGTCTACCATCTATGGGGCAAGAACTCAAAAGGGAATTTGGCTCCACAAAACATGTCACATCCCAATCAATTAATTAAAATGAAAAAAATAATAGGAGATTATTTGGCTCTGTATGTTTTTCTCAAAGGATTATCATTATATAGTAGTTGCTATGCCTGTGAAAAAGACTGAAACTGAAGAAACAAGCCATTAATCTAGGGGAGTCACCATTAGCATATAATATTCCACCCGTACACTTAGAATTCAGACGGACTAATAACGTTTAACCAATAAGGATCAAGAGTTTATACCGTCGATAACTTCAAGTCAAAAGTGAACCCAAATATATTATAGGTGTGATTGATGAATTCTAGTACACCCCTGACTTCATCTTTTATCTGAAAAAGGAAGCAAAACAGTCACAAGAGACACACAAGAAAAGAAGGATTTTACAACCCATTTGCCACATATCAGAAGTTTCATCTCACCTGGGACTGTCTACAGAAGATATGTGCATCATCCTGTAAAATGTCAGCGTGTCAAAATAGCTTCCACCAGCCATGAAATAGCACTCAGGAGGAAGTGAAAGAAAAGTAACTTGGTAAAATTGGCGTTCTCAATTTGAGAGCCTGACTATCATTATATACAAGCGGAAAATTACAAATATGGAAAAAAGAATAAAATCAAATCAAAATAAAGAGAATAAAATAAAATGAGAATAAAAATCAAATCCCTAAAAATTAGCCTATGTTAAAGACCCAATAAATCTGTCATAATCGTTGAGTCAACTTATAGATAAGATTTTCAACACTCCCCCTCAAGCTGGAGCAAATATGTTGACCAAGCCCAGCTTGACTATGGAAGACTGGAGAAGAGAAGGCCCAACAGACTTTGTGAATACATCCGCAGTCTATTCTGAAGAAGGAACAAAAATAGGATTAATGATACCTGATCGAACCTTCTCTCGAATAAAGTGAATGTCTACCTCAATATGTTTCGACCGTTCATGTAAAACAGAATCAGAAGCAAGCATAATGGCTGATTTATTGTCACAAAACAGCCTTGAAGAACCTTTCTGTACAAAACCCAACTCTCCCAAAATTGATTGAAGCCAAAGGAGCTCACAAGTACCTTGAGCCATAGCTCGGTATTCAGCTTCAGCAGAGGATCTAGAAACAACAGCCTGCTTCTTACTCTTCCATGATATGAGATGATTACCATAGAAAGTACAGAAGCCAGAGGTAGAACGTCTATCTGTCTTACATCCAGCATAGTCTGCATCAGTAAAGCATGAGAGTCCAGACTGATTTCCTGAGGCATAAAACAGACCAAGACCAGGGCACGACTTAAGGTACCTCAAAATATGGTAGACTGCATCCATATGAGCTGAGCGAGGGGCATGCATGAATTGACTAATCACACTAAAGCAAATGTCAAATCGGGCCTTGTGTTAGTCAAGTAGATAAGACGACCTACCAAATGTTGATACATGGATGGATCTGGAAGTAATTCCCCTGACGCAACAGAGAGTTTAAGATTGGGGTCCATAGGAGTGGAAGCGGGTCAACACCCAAGCATGCCAGTATCTTGAAGAAGATCTAAAACATATTTCCTTTGAGATAAAGAAATTCCACGACGGGATCTAGCAACCTCAATTCTAAGAAAATATCGAAGAGGACCTAAGTCCTTCACATCAAAGGACTTTTGAAGATGAAGTTTCGCCTGAGCAATCCCTGAAGCATCATTACCTGTGATAATGATATCATCCACATATACCAATAACATAATGCAACGACCATTAGAGCAACGTCGAATAAAACAAGTATGGTCTGAGTGGCAGCGCACAAAGCCCATGGATAAAACAACATCGCTGAAACGACTAAACCAAGCTCTAAGAGATTGCTTCAGACCATAAAGAGACTTCCGTAGCCTACAGACTTTCCCAGCATACTCCCCCTCAACCCGAAATCCAAGGGGTGGATCCATATATATAGTCTCAAGTAAGTCTCCATTAAGAAATGCATTCTTGACATCTAACTAATGCAGAGGCCAAGAATGGGCAGCAGACAAGGAGACAAGCAGTTGCACAGACGTCAACTTAGCCACAGGAGCAAAGGTAGCACTAAAGTCTTTGCCCGGAATCTGAGTAAAGCCTTTGGCCACCAACCGAGCCTTATACCGATCAATAGAACCATCGGCTAAGTACTTCACATTAAAGACCCATTTGCAGCCAACCGTTTTCTCCCCAGAAGGTAAAGCAACAAGTTCCCATGTATTATTATGGTGTAAAGCATCCATTTCTGTTGTCATGGCAGACATCCAATTGGGATCCTGGAGGGCCTCTGACACAGATCGAGGAATAGAAACGGTCCCAATCTTGCCCAGGAAGGATTTATATGCACCTGAAAGACCATCATAGGAGACATACTGGGAAATAGGGTGGTTAGTGCTACTAGAAAAACCATACCAATTAGGAGGATGACGATCACGGTAGGATAACGGGAGGTACGCTCAGGAATTGTAGGAGCAATAGGAGAAGGAGAGTTACCTGGACCTAGTTCTGAAGATGATTCTGGCAGGGGAGGTTGAGTGCGATGGCGACGAGAGTAGACCTGCAAAGGTGGAGAAGAACCCTGCATGGATGGAGAAGGAGATTCCAGGACAGTGTGATTTTCAAAGAGAGGAACAGGACGGGCAATAGGAGAAATCTCCTTCTCCAGATCACAAGAGAGAGAATCCTGTACCACTGAATTAGTACTATAAAAAGGAACAGTTTCATGAAATGTCACATCAAAAGAATGATACATATGTTTAGTCACAGGATCATAACAACGATAGCCCTTTGACAAGCAGAATACCCCAAGAAAATACACCTAATAGATTTATCATCAAGTTTATGACGAGAAGGACTACGGTTATGAACAAAACAAGTACAGCCGAAAACACGAGGCAGAAGGTGAAACAATGTATAATCAGGCTGGAGAATCTGAAGTGGTGCCTTACCACCCAAAACTCGACTGGGAGTACGATTAATCAGAAAAGCAGCTGTAAGAACAGCCACGTGCCAATAGAATTTAGGCACATGCATACCACTCAGAAGACATCGGACCACAGACATAAGATGACGGTTTTTACGTTCAGCCACGCCATTTTGCTCAGGAATATAGGGGCAAGTGAGTTGATGTAAAATCCCCTTTTTATTAAGTTCAGACCGGAACTCCTTCGAAACATATTCTCGTCCATTATCAGAACAAATATTACGGACAACAGTGTTATACTGGGTTTTGATCATTTGAAGAAACTGGGTAAATAAAAGAAACACATCAGATTTCTTTTTCAATAAATAAACCCAAGTACAACGAGAATAATCATCAATAAATGTCACATAATATCGATGTCCAGAGAAAGCAGTAACTGGGGAAGGGCCCTAGACATCAGAATGAATAAGATCAAACATACTAGGAGCACGACTCATATGTGAAATATAGCTAGTTCTAGTATGTTTAGAAAGCTCACAAACTTCACATTGAAACTTATGGTCCTTACATGCTTTATTTAACGAAGGAAACAATAGACATAGATATTGAAAGTTTACATGCCCCAAACGTGCATGCCACAGACTAAAAGTGCAAAAAGAAACATCATAAACACTAGAAGTAGGTAGGACAGAAGCTTAAAGACTCGTTCCTGGTGGTTCCCCAAAGTAGTAAAACCCATCACGCTCATAACCCCTGCCAAAAATCCTCTTCAAACAAAGGTCCTGCAACAAACAGTGATTTGGTAAGAATATAACTGCACACTGGAGGTTTTTTGCAAGCCGGCTAACAGATAAAAGGTTAAAGGCAAATTTAGGTACATGAAGGACAGATGAAAGAGTAATATCAGGAGACAGACAAACATCACCCTTACTGTGAATGTAAGATGTAGAGCCATCCGCAAGATACACAGATTGGGTAACAGGTATGACATTAGAAGAAAAAACTGATAACTCACCAGTCATGTGATCATTGGCCCCAGAATCCAGAACCTAAGTGGGCTGCTTGGCCTTAACATGAATGCAGTAGGAGTACCTGTAGCAATAGTTGCAGTGGGAGCAGTTGAAGGAGCACTAACTCTAGAAGCAAGGGAGCCAAGCTGGTCTTGGATCTACCCAATCTGAGACTGAAGCTGGCTCAGTCCAGGAAATACAGTAGATCCACCAATAGTAACAGGAGTTTCTGCAACAGCCACAGTACGAGAAGAACCAGTTCCAGATAAACGGTTCCTTGAAAATTTTTGCTTCAGTTCAGGATGAAGTTTGAAGCAACGAGCCTTAACATGTCCAACCCCTCCACAATGGTGACAAATAATCTGACCTCCAGAAGCTCGTGATCCAAAGTTGGCTGCAAAAGCCATACTATCCCCAGCAGGCTCAAACATTGGTACAGGAACAATTGAGGGCTGAATTAAACGGTGCTTGCGTGCTTCACCATCAAGAGTAGCAAAGGCTTCCAACAGGGATGGCATTGGTGATGCATTCAAGATTTGAGACTTTAGTGGTTCAAATTCTGGGCGTAATCCCATCAAAAACTAATAGGTATGCTCACGATCAAGACATCTGACAAGAAGAGAGGCTGCCTCAGAAGGAAATTCACTGAGAGGCTCATATTGAGCTAGTTCCTCCCAACGAGATCTCAAATACCCAAAATAATCAGTTACAGACAAATTCAGGCCTTCCTGCGAGGCCTTAGCAATATCTTGATATAATTCAAAAATACGAGCATCATTCCTAGAATGAGCATACATTTGATTCAAAGCAGTCCATAAGTCATTAACAGAGTCATAAAACATGAATATATTATAAATGCGTTCCTCCATAGAATTAAACATCCATCCTAAAATGGTGCAATTGTCCATATCCCATTGAGCATATTTAGGATCTTTAATATCTGGCCTCTTTTCAGTACCCAAAATCCACCCTGATTTGCCTTTTCCACCAACATAGAGGCAGAAGGAACGAGCCCAGGATGCAAAATTGCGGCCATTCAACAGCACACTAGTAACTCATTGAGCCAGTGTGTGTTGCGCCGAAAAGAGAGTTTCTTTTTTATTACTTGATTCAGCCATAATATTAAATAGATCAATTCAACAAATTACCAATAATTTCAAATAAAGGAGGAATAAACCTGATTTTGATCAAACCAAGAAGGCGGAGACACGGAGGTCTGATCCGAAAATGCTGCCGAATATCTCGGCAGCCCCAAAAAATTGCAAACACGTCTTCTGACCCTTAGTGCATGAAAAAGACTAAGGGAATACCCCTACAGGGGTCGAACCTAGAGGAGATTGACTCCCCCTGGGGCTGTCGCAACAGCGACCAGAAAAAGAGAGAAGGTTTGTGAAAAAATATATATATATAGGGAAGGGGCTGTAACGAGATAGAGAGAGATATTAAAAGAGGCGGTGAAAGAGAGAGAGATGGGGGAGGCGTAGGTTTGTGGCTCTGATACCAAAAAGTAACTTGGTAAAATTAGCGTTCTCAATTTGAGAGCTTGACTATCATTATATACAAGCGGAAAATTACAAATATGGAAAAGAGAATAAAATCAAATCAAAATAAAGAGAATAAAATCAAATCAGAATAAAAATAAAATCCCTAAAAATTAGCCTATATTAAAGACCCAATAAATCTGTCATAATCGTTGAGTCAACTTATAGATAAGATTTCCAACAGAAAGCTATAAAGTACTGGATCCTAATGGTCCCCTAGCATGGTCCAGCTAGGTTCAAAAATATAATACTAATAAAAAATAGAAAAATAAAAAGATGACCATACCTAACAGTTAACAGTTTAGGCCCGGTGAGACAAAGCAACTAATAGCAATGCAATTGTTGATATAGCAACTAAAATTAGCAACTAGAGCTTATCCAGGGCATAACTTAAAAGACTGATCAAGTCCTAAAAAATCAAAGCCGTAACTAATTCCAAGTAAATCTTTCCCCACATTATGCTTTATATGAACCACCACAACGAAAAGAATACCTGTTGAAATCTCCGGACACGAGTTAACCCAGTAAGTGCACCATTGGCTTCATTTCGATGCAAGACTCCAAAATCAGCCAGGCGAAGAGGAAGTTCTGCAAAGCATGTTAAACAATCGAGATGTGAAAAATGAACCACACAAAGATAATAATTGAAGGACAAGAATAACAAAATTTGATAAATGTGTTTACCTAATTTGGAAATTCAATCCAATTTTTCTTGCTTTCCTTCAAATTTGATAAATCTACATTTTTTACTTTTTGTTTTTTTTTTTTTTTTTTTTTGAATTTGACCAAATTGATGGAAAAAAATGGCCAATATTCCAACCATTTAACAAATAATGTTAAAAGGACTACTTTTGCTCAAAATCCAATCATTTGAAATTTGGCAAAATATTCCAACTTCAGGGTCTTAATTTTTCCAACTAAATTTCGTCCTATCCAACTTTTGACAACCATATGCAAAGTTGGTTGAATTCAAAACCATGTCAACAACAAACATTAGACAGGGCAGGTGAATGAGCTCTTGCCCAAAAAGTGTTTCAGATTAACAGAAGTGGCAAAATAACCAGTATATTTGGCACGTAATATGTGTATTTAAGTTTTATGACATGCCATCTTACATATATACAAGCAAAGACTACTAAACTTCTGCATCGCACGAAGTCAATCCAAGTAACATAGACACAACTGATCAAAACAATATGCAATTAATTCAGATTTTGATAGCTTTATATCAACCAAGATATACCACTGTAAGCATCCAATAAAATCCAAGACCAAGCATAACTTTGCTCATGAGTTACTTAAGTGAGATACTGAAAGACTGGAAATGCAATTAAATTACGCACGTAAATTTCAAGGTAAATTTACCTCTATATGAACGAACTGTGTGGTTAAACATTAAACAGTGCCCAGGGCAATTCACTGGCTTCAGCCCAAACTCTTGATTTTCAACCTGCACAAAAGAATAGATTATTATCCTGTCACAGAGAAAATGATCCACAAACGTTGAATATAAATCAATCTTTCTTCCGAACAGCATAGAATCAATGATTCAATTTGTAACTCAGAGAATTCCAATCAAAACCCCACTTTGACAACATGCACATGATAATTATACAAAATTTAAAAAATAAGAAAAATGGCTCACACTACACACACAGACCCAAACTAGTTCACTATTCTAAAAGCTTTCAAACAAAAATAATGTTCTTAATGCATGGTCAACCAATTAATATCAAAATATCATGTGAAACAGTTGGCCCACCACTTAGAGAACAAAGTATAGGAGATTCAATAGCTGGAATTTGAGATTACTGCTGATTAGGGACTTAAGACTTCAACGTAAACGATTTCTAATATAGCTGGAATTTGGGATGTGTAAAAGGTAGATGTTGACAACCTTTTTGGAATATACTCTTCTAGAAATAGTTTTAAAATAAATAAATAAATAAATAATAATAATAATAATAACTGGAGGTACCATGCAAGGTTAAGCCTCCTGAGTTATCCAAGTATTGAGAATGACACTGCATTATCTTCAGTACTGTGGACAAAAGAAAAAGAATAACAGATGAAGGAAATGCGACATCTACAGATGGTATCAAGAACCTTGGTGGCAGCAGCCATGATAAAAAATATTCTAGACATTGGCTCTTCATACTTTCTTTTATTTCTACACTCTGTAAGCTTTTAGGAGACCTTTCTAACCTTGTTCCACCCTCAAAAATCTTATTTTAAAAGCCGAACCATTTTCCACCTTTAACACTAGAACTACAAAACTACCCGAAGTTATTGTTTAGAAGTACTGCTCAAGGCCAACAAACAAGATGAACAACACCAACATTAGCCTCCCTTTGCATCGTAAAAAAGATATAAATAAATAATAGTTTAAAAAAAGATGGAATAGGAATATTACTCAGTTCTGGTCCCGCCATGGCAGGGTCATGAGGAGGGAGGACTCCAGACAGACCTAACCTTAGGTATTTCACAAAGTGGGAACTCATGCCAATGGCACCGATGCTCAATCGTTTAACCATTCGGCTTGCTTTGCCTTGTAATAACCCTAAATCACGGCCAATTTTTACACCCATACAAATTACAAACCTGAAAACACCATGGTTTTGCAGATCTTTAGGTACAAACAAACTAATTACAGTGAACCCTGAAACCATCTCTAGCACTGTCACATTAATATTTTGGTACCAAAGCATGTGTGAGAGTGGTCATCTGCACATATCATACATTAGTCCCTATTTTGGATCAATTACTGACCATTGGACTGCTTTTGTTCTTCCATGATAATTTAAAAAATTAATTCATCTTCTTGGCAGCTTCTTACTAATAAATATTTAGCCTAGAAATACAGTTACCAACAAAAAAGAAGTGCAAGAGATGTAAATGCTATAGTATATCTTTAAAAAATTAAAAATTAAAAAAGAAGTGCAAGAGATGTAAATACAAATAAATTGATTGCATTACTTGGTCTTTAAAATAAAACTAAATCATCACAGACTTACATCTCCAATATTTTTAGAGACATATCACCTCCTATAACTACTGCCAACTAAAAAACTACAATAAAACAAGCTGTTATTAAAAATAAGATTCTTGGCATTCTAGCTTTATGGTCAAAGTTGGTCTTTGTGCAAGCCCCAGCAAAAACACATGCATGCAAAATTCCACGCATTATATGCTACTACTTTCATCATGTTTCCTCTTACTCTATTCTTCTTTGTCACTTCACTTCCTTAGCAATTGAGGGAAGGAGATATCATTAGAATGGCAAATGGCTCAGTAAGAAAGTATTATATTTATAATTATAACTAATGAAAAACCTGACCTCAAACACAAACATTTTCTCCCTGTAATTGGCAGCATGACCAGAAGTTTCCCAAAGTTGCATGTTATACATATTTGGTGTCAAAACCTGCCAAAATATAGTTATATAAATACTCATATTTGGTGTCAAATCATATGATTTTGCAATATAGCAACTTCAGATTTAGACTATTAACCTCTAGGTAACCTCTCTCCCTATATTGGGTTCGTATAAATTCCGTCAACTTGTTGTATATTCGAGTACCATGAGGAAGAAAGAACCAACTTCCAGGGCTGCAACTCATACAGATGCAATAAGTGGATATCTTGGATTATCTTTAATGCATAAAGTAATATGAAGTCATTTTAACTCATACCTAAGTGGGTGATTGAAAAAAAGCTCCTGTTGTTTACCCAATTCTCGGTGGTCATATTCCTTTACTTCTTCCAGCCAGGCAATGTATTCCTGCAATAAAGGTATCATTCAAGGAATTTGGGAGTGTGATAAATAATAAATACTTCCACAAATAAATAATGTCATTTGGAAGAGAACACATCATATGTCGTAGGCAAAATTTTCCCGTTTTGAAAGCATAGACTTGCCCACCATATAAATCAATACCTTTGTTTTATTATAAAATGCCAATTAATATTAGAGAACTAATCTCAAGACTGAACACACATTATCATGTTTGTCTGATTGTACTTGATACCTTTCCACAAATTAATATTGTTTTAACTCCTATACTATGTGAAAAATATTTAATAGGGTATACCGAGAAAACAATACACCAAGACAACGTCACACGAATAAACTAAACAATACACATGATGTTAAAAAGTATTTGGCAACATGGTCAACTAAGCATAAAAAGGAAAAGAAGGAATTGACTCCCATCTTAGCATGTCAGAAATAAACTTCGGTACAAACACAAACCTACCACATCCCACCTCAACCCCCACCAAGGAAGGGTTAGCACAAAGTAACCAGAAAGGAAAATATATAGCACAATAAAAGAAAATGCACTCTCAAGTATCATGATATAAATCATAAATTGTACAACAAAGAATAATCTCGTAATGTTCTTCATAACAGATATTAGAGGCCGCAGTTTTTGGGGTTTGGTCTTGAAGGGTTTTTGGTTATATTGTCTGATCAACATATCCCTCCAAGATTGAAAGAGAAATTTTACAAAGCAGCTATCAGACCAACCATTCTTTATGGGACAGATCTTTGGGCAAGTAAGAAATAACATATGCATAAAGTGTGGCAGAAATGCGAATATTGAGATACATTTTTGGCAAGATAAGAAACAGTAAAACTAGAAAAGAGCACATTCGTGAGATGGTTGAAGTAGCACCTATTGGAGATCAAATAAGAGAACCAATTAAGATTGTTTGGGTATATGCAAAAAAGACCACTAAGTGCACCAAATAGGAAAAGTGACGAGATCCACATTGAGGGAAGACCAAAATTAACATTGGTAGAGTTAGCAAAGAAAGACATGATAACGTGAGGGTTACCTGAGGAACCGGCCTTCAGTAGAGTATAATGGAAAAGTAGGACCCTAGTAACCGACCCAAATAGATGGGAAAAGGCTTTGCTGATATGAGTTTAATGTGATAACTTTTCTTTTTCTCCTTTTAAACTTGAAGGATTCCTTATCCTTGTAAGTGTCCTCCTCTTTAATTATAATTCTTGTTTCTTCTGCCCCCAAAAAGGGAAAATGGCTGAAAATTACCTTCTTCTGATCAGGATAAGATATCCCATAAACTCTTTGTAAGCTTTCACGGTCTTTATTCCCCCTCCAATAAGCTGATGAAGCCTGAATATATTAAATGCATGAGTAACCTACATAAAATATTTGCAAATATGCAAGCAAAGCACTCCAGTCCAATTTTTTTTTTTGATAAGTAAAGCACTCCAGTCCATTTTACTGTGCAAAAATCACCTTTAAACAAGCAAATGCTTTGACAAAAGATGTATTTGGTATATGGGGTCCACGACACAAATCAACTAACAGGCCACACCTGTACACTGTGATAGTTTTGTCTGCAGGTAATTCATTGATAATCTCGACCTGATAAAGACAGTAAAAAGAGAAAAACAATAAAAAGTATACGATGCCAAAATAGTATTAATGACGCTCAAATGCATCACATACTTTGTGTGATGCAAAATGGAATCTACACTTGCCTTAAATTTATTTTCGGAAAACATCTCAAGGGCCTGCTCCCTTGACACCTCAATGCGCTCAAAAGGTAGTTTTTCCTAAAACACAGAGAGTTCCTTATGGTCATGGAAGAGAATCCCTCTCAATATGTGAAAAAGTAAAATGTTGGATACAGATAATAATAATAATAATAATAATAATATTAATAAAATAAAATATCCATCACTGCAACATTGTTAATATCTTATATTTACTAGTTCCATCCACAGCCAAAACCATTAAAAAAGAACAACAATTTTATTATGCATATGATACAAGGTACATATATAATAACAAGATTGCACTATTTAACAAATCAGAAAGAGAAGTCCAAAAGAAGAAGAAAAAAATTGTCCTTGCTTGAGCATATGCTGAGAATAAAAATGGTCTGTTACTCCGTTTGAGATTTCAATCAAACCTGGCAGAATTCGAAATGATCCCACCAACCCTGCTGAAATCGTGCAGCTTCAGGCATTGTAGCCTATGGCCTGCCAATCAAACATGGCCTCCTCTGCCAGTTTCATGACATTTAAGTTTTAACAGAAAACAAGGGAAAGTAAATAAAATAGATGCTGCTGAAACTGTACAAGGTTGTGCCCCCTTTTGCTTCCTTTTAGCAAAATGCCTTACTAGGAAAAATAAAGAAAAAATAAAAAAAAAAAAAAAGAAAAAGGAAATACCTACTGCTTTTTAATATGTAGTCCATTTTCATGCTCAGGAATTATTTATATATATATATATATATATATATTAGCATACTCAGAAACTTAATTTATTGCTGACAAAAAGTGACAAAATAAAAGAAAAATCACTACATTTCCATTCTAGACAAATAGAAACATGAATATTACAATATTAAAGTTCAGATCTATTACACTTTTGTTATCATAAATGAGAAATTACAAGGAAATATCAAAAGGATCATTTCTATTTATAGCAAACAACGGCAGCAACAACAAATAACAATATAATGATAATGACATAATACTAGCAAGAAGAAAACAAAGTAAAACCTGCAACTTCATAATAGGTTAACTTCTAAGTTATCTTGTTAACAAACAATACCGCAACAGCTTTAGATGCCCCTGAAGCAATCTGTTTGAAATGATCTTCATTTAAGCCCAGTTCACCATAGAATGCATCATAGTAGAAACCCTATAAGATCAGTTAATGATTTCATGAGAAGCTGTCATCATTACATTTTATAACAAATGAAAAATAAAAACACCCCTCCCTCCATAACAGATATAATGAAACAGAACCAAAAAGTTCTTTAAAACAGTTGAATCATAAACTCGGAAACTTAAACCAATCAAGTAATAGTGATAATATATTCTAACTGAAAAATAAAGAAAAAGCAACAGCATGAACACTAACACTTGTACTAAATAAAAATTGTGGAAACGTGTACAAACTGCACGGCCATGTTAAAAATTCTTATCACCAATACAACTCCAAACACTTGATATAGTGACGCTAAGCATGCCAACAAGAGAAAAGATAAATCAAAAGTTCATAATTGATCCCACTTGCAACCTTGTCAACGCAAGTTTTGGTTTAATTTGAGTTATATTCTAAGTTCACTTCATGTTAGTATAATTTAACCAAGATTGCCGTAAAGAAAACGGTTTTGATGCAACAGACACAGAGTTTAATAGAGGTTTCATAGTGTTAAAGAATGTCCATGAACTTTTTTCAACCTCACCCAACTTTCACTTAAATGCACTGATACACAGGTTTTAATTCGATAACTCCACAAGGTTGATTTCTAATGATTTGTAACAAATTTGTTGGTTTTACTGTGGGGTGAGCAAAAAATCCGCCAATCCGCGAACCCGATTCGATCCGATCCGTACAGATCGGATAGGATTACCAGACCCACGGATCGGTGGCGGATTTTAAAAAATTGAATCCGTAGTTCACGGATCAGATCACGGATTAGGCTGTCAAAAATCCGATCCGATCCGTGGCAATCCGTGGGTAATCCGTAAAATATATATATATGCCACAGATTTGTTATATATTAATATTAATATTATATATTATATATATATATATATATAATATTAATATTAATATTAATATATAACAAATCAGACCCACGGATCGGTGGCGGATTTTAAAAAATTGAATCCGTAGTTCACGGATCAGATCACGGATTAGGCTGTCAAAAATCCGATCCGATCCGTGGCAATCCGTGGGTAATCCGTAAAATATATATATATGCCACAGATTTGTTATATATTAATATTATATATATAATATTAATATTATATATATATATAATATTAATATATAACAAATCTGTGGCAATCCGTGTGCCACATATCGTTTTTTAATTTTTTTTTTTTTTGGTAACTAATTAAGTATTATACATATTAGTATATTACACACTGATATAAAACATATTAGTATTTTTTTTGGTAACTAATTAAGTGTTTTTTCGGATAATTTGGATAACTACTGTCCTTTTGATTATGCAATATTTTACAGTTTGATTATTCTTGTTATTATGCATTTAAATTCGGTTAATCTATGTTCTATTATACACTTTTGTAATTGGATATAAAATTGGTAAAAAATTAAAAATAGACTAATTTGGATAATTCAGTACGCGGATTGGATCCGATCCGATCCGTGAATTCACGGATCCAATCCGATCCGATCCGTGAACTAACGGATTGGTGGCAGATTCAAAATTCCCTAATCCGTTGAGAGCGGATCGGATTAGAATTGATGCCTAATCCGATCCGATCCGTGGCCACCCCTAGGTTTTACAGCGTGTTAGTGATTACCTTTTAGTATAATGCAACTTCATTAGGAATTTAGCATATAGTAACTATTAATAATTCGAAATACTAATGTATCATACAATTTATCTTAACAGTGATGGGACCAAGAATAAATCACATTAAACTCCCTACAAATACAAAAATTTGAAATAACATTATCACTTAATGAAAAGTCAAATAATCTCAGCATATAAAGTACCTCCCCTCTTGTAGTACACTTTCCAATACACAATTTGCAGCCAAACTCCATCTCAAGAGACTACACAAATCACAAGATAATCCAAAATCAATCAAACCAAATATATAATTTTTCATGAAACCACATTGAATCCATAAGCAGAATTACAAAGCTTGTACCTGCCCTAGAATGTGAGCACTAGAGTGCCAAAAGGTGTCGCGACCTTCGTCGCTGTCGAATGTGAACAGCTTGAGCTCACAATCACTTTCTAGTGGCCTTGACATGCCCCAAAGAACTCCATTCACCTGAGAAATCAGACCATTTGCAGCCAAATTCTTCGATAGCTCCTTCGCAATGTCGAGCGGTGTAGATATCCACTTCTTCCCTTCCTTCACTGTCCCGTCCGGCAAAGTTATCCTAACAAAATTAAGAAATTTAAAATCAAAACATACACACACTCATATATATATATATATATATATATATATATATATATATATATGTACTAGTAAAGCACACCTGATGAAAAGTTATTTTATAATCTTAATTAAAAAATTTATATAAAAATTATCATAAAAATTTAATTTTTTAAATAATTAATTAGTAAGTTTTTTTGAGTAATTAAAATTTTAAATATTTATGAAGCGAAATGTGTTGTCAAGATTAAAATTTAAGAGAAAGGGATTCGAGAATGAAATATATAATATTTAAAAATTTATAGACAAGAAAATATATAATATTAGAAAATTCATTTGTTTAGTTAATAAATGCTGACATGACATAATTAAACAAATACATAGATAAAAAATAAAAATAAATCAACATGATTAATACAATTCAAAGAATAAAATATAATTAAACAAACACAAATAAAAATAAAAAATAAATCAACACGATTAATGCAATTCAAAGACAAATGTACCTATAATAAAATAGAAAAAGTAAAGTTGTTTTGACATTGAAGAATTCCAAACATAATATGATTTATTTTAATTGATAACTTTATTTCGTAAATTATTTTATTATTTTATCTATAAATGATTTGAAACATCTTGATTGAATTTCAACTAAACAATTACCTATTTAATTTTAATCGATAATTTATTTAATGATTTAAAACATCTTGATTGAGTTTCAATTAAACAATTTTCTATTTAATTTTAATTGGTAGGTTATTTTATTATTTGGTAAATTATCTAATTTTTTATTATTTGGTAAATTATTTTATTAAATAATTATCTATTTTATTTTAATACGTAACTTCTTTATTATAATTGGTAACTTATAGGATTTATTTTAATTGGTAACTTATTTTATTTTTTGGCAAATTATTTTATTATTTTATCTATAAATGATTTGAAACATTTTGATTGAATTTCAATTAAACAATTATCTATTTAATTTTAATTATTAATTTATTTATTAATTTGAAATATCTTGATTGAATTTCAATTAATCAATTACCTATTTAATTTTAATTGACGTAACTTGTTTTACCTGTTTTAATAATGATTTGACACATAACTAAGGAAAAAAAAATGATTGGAAACATCTTTATTGAATATCAATTAAACAATTACCTATTTAATTTTAATTGATAATTTATTTTATTATTTGATAAATTATTTTATTAAATTAAATTTCAATTAAACAATTACCTATATAATTTTAATTGGTAATTTATTTTATTTTAATTAATTTTATATCAATTAATAAATATTTTTTATATTAATAAACAAATATTGAAATACTGATTTACTTATTTTAATAATGATTTGAAACGTAACTTAGAAAGAAAAAAATGATATGAAACATCTAGATTAAATATCAATTAAACAATTACCTCTTTAATTTTGATTGATAATTTATTTTATTATTTAATAAATTATTTTTTAAAATTATATTTCAATTAAACAATTACCTGTATAATTTTAATTGGTATTATTTTATTTTAATTAATTTTATATCAATTAAGAAATTTTTTTTATATATTAATAAATAAATATTAAAATGCTGAAACAGATTTGAAACATTTAATATCAATTAAATAATTATCTATTTAATTTTAATTAGTAACTTATTTTATTATTTGATAAATTATTTTATTAAATTAAAAAATTATTTATATAATTTTAATTGATAATTAATTTTATTTTAATTAATTTTATATCAATTAATAAATTTTAATAAATAAATTTTAATTAAACAATTATTTAGATAATTTTAATTGATAAAAACATACTAAAACACTAAAAGTCTTTACACTTTTTTAATAATAGTATACATATGAAGATACTGTAAGAATGAGAGTACTTGATGAGATCGCCGGAGACGGATTGACGGTGGGAGAGGAGTTCGGACTGGATGGATTCGAAGAGTGCGATGCGCTTGGGGATGACGGATTGGAGATAGGCTTCGTCTTTGGGGTGGTCTGGAGTGGACTTGGGCTGAGCATTATTGGCTTTCTTACCCATCGCTAACGGCGGTGGCGATGGTGGTGAGAAGAGACGGAACGAGGTTTTGCAAGGCTGAGACCGGCGGCCAATGAAACGATAGTCGCCACCACTGTTGAGGACATTCGTCGTTACTCGTTATGGTGTCTTGCGTAGAAGAGGTTCAAATTATTCTCAACGTCATCGTTTTATTGCGTCCTCACATGTTGGATTGGGCCTTTTGAGGAGGTTAGTTTATTGGGCTTTTAAAAGAGATATTGGGACAAACAGATTCAGTAGGACAAACTGTAGATGATGAAATTGGATACTAGTTGACCATGTTGGGCCATCATGTTAGTGGGCCAATTATTGAGTATAAAAATTTGTTACCCGTCAGCATGATCCAGATTTTCTCTAGATTGACCAATTTTAAGTGCCCAATTCAACCACCAGAAGTTATTGGGTACCCGGTTATTAAAAAATAATAGGAAATGGGGTGTTGTGATTGACCGGGAGTGTATAACAACCGCTACATGGGATAGTGTAGATTTTGCCCTCCAACCACGTACTTCTGGGGTTGAAGTGGGTCACTTAAAACTTGGGCTAGTTTTGTACTTGTGTTCACAACTTTGGTCTTTGTTTGGGCTTCAAATCTTTTTGATAGCACAATTTTTATTATTATTATTTATTTTTTTATTTTTTGGATAATCTGTATCCAAGACTTCGCCCTAACTAATTATCGAGAACCCAGGAAGGGGCTTGTCCATCCCTATAGTAGCGGATGCCCATAAGTAGTGGTAAGTTCCTATTGACGAAAATTGAATTCCAAACCTAGCGCTAGGAAGGCACGAAAATTCAGATAATTTTACCAGTAGGCCAACCCTTCGATTCCAATTATTTTTATTTTCTTTACTTTTTGTACAATTTAAAGTTTACAATTTATACAAATTCAACTTAATTTTTGAAAAATAAAATAAAAACATTCAAACCAAAATAAATTTCCTGGAAGGAATGAAGTGAATGATACCCAATTGTTGATAATCTGATGGTGAAAGATGTTTATGGTGGTTGTGAACACTGAAGGACCATGTGGTTCTACAACACTTAATGAGTCATATGATGATTTGGGAGCCATTGAACCCAGCATTAATGCTTATGTTCCCGACAGGTTTTTCTATATTTTTGAAACCTATAGTGCTGCCAAATGAAAAAAAATTAAAATAAATAAATTCACATGCACTACATAAACACTTTTAATTAGAAGGAAAATAAATTCAAACCGATAATGTTAGTCGAGAACTAGTTCGTGAGTCATTATTCTTTTAATCGAGAATTAATTTATAAAAATAAATTCAAACCGAGAATGTTAGTCGAGAACTAGTTCGTAGCCACTTGAGGCCACTCTCCTTTACCCATGTTTGATATGCTTTATGTATTAAAAGAAGATTTTATGAAGGGGAAAATGCATATATCGAGAGAACTTTCACCAAATAGCGCTACATGCCAAGCAACCATTTAATGGGTGCAACCAAAGACCACTTAGCCAACCTCATGAAATATTATGCAAGTGTGTGTGTTGTGTGTGTCAGTGTGTGTGTGTTGTGTGTGTGAGAGAGAGGGAGAGGGAGCACATGCATCCTACAATAAGTGATTGTACTCTCTTTTATTAGCTGATGTATTGTGGTGGAACTGTACCAGTTTGTTAGTCATCACCCTAGCTATAAGAGTCCATATACATGGTCCCAAAAGAAGGGCCAATGAAGTAAAAGGAGAATCAAAAAGGGTAGGACAGAGCCCCAAAATGGGGAGGTATATAGGGCACCAACTGGATATGAAGTTGGTTTTTGGAGGGTATAGAGAGAGAGAGAGAGAGAGAGGGGTTGTGAAGTTGTGATAGTATGGACATGTGAAGGCATGTGCGTCCCGTTCCCACCACCAGGTCCACAGCTCATTACGGACCCTAGGCCATGCACCTGACACTTATTACACCACCACCCATTTACCTATCACTCACTCAATGGTGTGTACTCCTCCTCATCATGACCACCTTCGCTTCCGTTGTTGCCGCCAATGTCAACCCTCATTTTTTCCGAACAATTTGTAGTTGGGAAGTTCGAATTTTCACTGTTGATCATAAACTTTTTAGACTTGAACGTTCAACTTGTACTTTGAAAATGAGAGATCATGCTAATGACTAGTACTCGTACGTGCTGACCTGACATAAAACTGTGCTTAGTTATTACCATGAAATTTTGTATTTGAAAGGAACACAAGAAAATGCAAGTGATGGAAGAGAAAGTAAACCCTACAAAATATCTTAGAACCAAAATTGATATTTGTTACAATCTAAGGGTTTGTTTGGTTCGTGTTTTGTTTTTTTGTATTTTTTTTCTTCTATCGGTTACTGTAATAGTGAAGAATGAAAGCACAGTATCCAAACATTTTATGAATAGTGGCAAAATATTAAAATTTCAATTTGGTGTTTTTATATGAATAGTGGCAAAATATTAAAATTCCAATTTGGTGTTTTTATATATTTCGGCAATGTAACATTTTGTAATGTAATTAAGAACAGCAAATAAAAAAATTTAAAAAACTCTTAAATGATATTTTTAAACTAACCTTTATATTTTTTAAATTTTTAAATTTTGCAAAAAAAAAAAATTATCAAATATGTTTTGATATTTTTGCTTCTAAATTATTTTATAACAAATAAATATTACCAAATATAATTTCAATTACTATTTAAAACAATCTCCAACAAAAAAATTATTTTATTTCAGGTTAAAACAACACACACACATAAAAAAAAAAAAAAAAAAAAAAAAAAAAAAAAAAAAAAAAAAACCCTCTTATTAGGCTTAAATGTGTTTGAAATGACATGATATATATAATAAGTGAAAGAACTTGATCAAACGTTGACTTCTTTGTATATTGCCTTGGAGGTAGTAGTTCAATTATTAACGAACGTAGAAAGATCTGGACCAAGTATGGACTCGTTGATCGATCCGTTTGGCTTGAAATGTCACTTTCCGAATAAACAACAATCGAGTACATATATATATATATATATATATACATGTTGGTGTTTTTTTTTCTTCTTCTTCTTGTCGATAATTCTTTTTTTTAGTTGAATTGTCGATAATTCTGTTGTTAGTCCTTAATTAATTACAGTAATGGAGTATATATATTCTTGATTATTTATTTATGTGTGAATATAAATGTAGATGTAGATCTATATATATATATATATATATATAGTATGTGGATGAATATATAGTGTGGCAACTTATAAGCCAGTGATTAACCCAAAAATATAAAAAAAAGCTTATAAGCCAGTCTACCTAATCCATGTAACAATTAACATATGTTTTTATTGTGGAGACAAAGGAACCATAGTTGGTAAAATGCGTTTATGTGTAAACATTCGGATATAATTCATTTTTCTTGTTTAAAAAATAATTAAAAATTTTAGATTTAAAAAATAAATATGAAAAATTACAAATACAAATATGTTTTAGTATAATTTTTTTTTTTAAAATACAAACATTAAAAATTCGACCATGTGTAGACTATTTTCTTCTTTTGTTGCCTGGAATGCAGTATGTAGACCTAAAATTTATGGGGGATTGGGATTTCCTGACCTCGAGCTCTCTAACAGAATTGCATGCCTTAAACATATTTGGAAATTATGTCTAAGGAAGGAAAGTCTTTGGGTTGCTTGGTCCTATAATTATCTTATTAAGGAGAAGAGTTTCTGGTACCTAAAGGCAACCTCACTTAGCTCTGGTTTTTGGAGGAACCTGTTGAAGCTCAGAGAAATGGCTAGAAATATCATTTATTTTAAGGTTGGCTGCGGAAAGGACACAAAGTTTTGGCTGAACTTTTGGCTTCCAAAGGGCCCAATTGTAAATCAGTTGGGATTAAATGACTTGGAAATTCTTCAACTGGACTCCTCAGCCACAGTTGATAGCCTAATTTCCAATGGACATTGGATGATCCCTCTATCTCTAGCTTACCCTCAATTTTTTCAGTCTGTTAATTTCCTTTCTCAGCTATACTCTTTACAATCTCCCTCAGAGCAAATGGATAGTATTCATTAGTTGCCTAGTTCTTCTGGAGCTTACTCATTCTTCCAAACTATTGCTTACTTTGCCCCTCCTTCTCCATCCTTTATTTGGTACAAATTAATTTGGTTCAAACATCACATCCCTAAACATAGTTGCATTGTCTGGCTTGTTGTTAGAGGTAGACTGTATACATTGGTTTTAAAGCCTATGCTTCACAAGCATTATATTAACAGGTGTTATCTATGTATGGCTGAGAATGAATCACTGGATCATTTGTTCTTCAAATGTTGTTTCAGTTCACATGTTTGGATTGCTATACAAGAGGTTGCAGGATTCTATATTCTACCCAACTGCTGGAATGAGCTGATTAATTGGTGCTCAACTCATTGGTCCTCTGGAAGATTTCTAGTTCATGAACTTTTGTTGTCTGCAGCAATCTACTATCTCTGGTTGGAGAGAAATAGAAGAGCATTCAGAAATGCATACTCCAGCCCTAATCACATCTTCTCACCAGTCAAATCTTGTGTTCGAGCTAAACTAGTATCAATTAAGTTAAAAAACTATGCTGAGTTAAGGGGGATTTCAGCTGAGGTTGATCTTCACAATTTGTTTGCACAAGCTTGTGGAACAGCTTATGGGCACTCTTGGTTGATTACTTAAAGCTGAATCACTGGTTTTTGAGGTTCTGGAAGGTACAAGAAGCTGTGATTGAAAGATAGCAGTGTCTCCCTTCTTTGTTCACAAGCAACAAGACTTGGTTTTTGCCATGTTTCAATGGTTGCTGTGTATTGTATAGGTCCTTTAACCTTTTGTTGTCTTTTTGTCTCTGTCAATGGCCTCGGCCTTCATGTGATTTTGTTTTCCCCTCTTCTTTGAGGGCTTCATGTATCTATTTTATCTTCAATACGAGCTTACATTTAACTAAAAAAAAAAATAATAATAATAATAATATAAAAGAGACTAAATAAAGTA